CCTTGTCTTCTAGCTCACTGATGTGGTCCTCTGCTTCTTCTAGTCTACTGTTGATGCTTTCTATTGAGTTCTTTATAGCAGTGATGTCATTTTTCATTTCTTCTTGGTTCTTCTTCATTTCCTCTTGGTTCTTACACATATTGTTGAATTTGTCTTCCATTCTTTTCATCCACCTTATGACCATTTCTCTGAATTCTTTCTCTGACAGGTTGCTTGCCTCCATTGCCTCCATTTCGTTTACTTCCTTTTCTGGTGATGCCTGTTTTTCTTTCGTATGTGGACTGTTTCTTAGTCTCCCCATGATCACTCTTCTCCAGGTGTTTGGTTATGTAGTTATCTCTCTGTTTTACGTGAGGAGGAGCAAGGCTTGTCTGAGATGATCCCTGGATACCATGGTTGCAGGGTCTCTGGATGTATACGCTTCTGATATCAGCCACTCAAGATGGTGCAGTCTTCGTGGCTGAGCCAGTTGCTCCCTGCTGGCTTTCTTTTGCAACTTTTTTTAAAAAAACAACAACAACTTTATTGCATTATAATTCACATAATATGCAATGTACTCATTTTAGGTATGCAGTTAAAAAGATATTCTCAGGTCTGTGCAACCATCACCACAGTCAATTTCAGAATATTTTCATTACCTCAGAAAGAAACCTATACCCTTTAGCAGTCACTCCACATTTCCCCAAACTGCTCCCAGACCAGTAATCCGCCATCTGTCTTTATAGACCTGCCTATTCTGGACGTGCCATACAAATGCAATCATGCAACCTTTATGACTGGCTTCTATCACTTAGTTTAGTGTTTTCAAGGTCCATCTATATAATAGCAGGTGTCAGTACTTCATTCTTTTTGTGGCTGAATAACATTCCATTTATGGAAAGACCACACTGTACTCATTAGTTGATAGATATTTTGGTTTGTTTTGCATTTTCCTGATGATTAGTGATGCTGAGCATCTTTCCACATGCTTATTGGCTATTGTACCCATTACATTTTTTATAAGTTGCAAGATATAGCTTACATGAAAAAAAAAAAGCACAGAGACCGTTTATTTAAAAGAATAATGATAAAGCACCCATATATAGGAACAGAACATTACCAGAACCCCAGATGATGCCTGGGTGACCTCATCAACTACAGCCCCTTGCCTCCAACTCCAGAGACAAGCACTTTTGGTATTTGTGTCCCTCATCTCTTTACTTTCCATGCGTCCCCTCTCTGTGTGCCCTGAAGAATACAATCCAGTTTTGCCAACTTTTAAGTTTTTTTTTTTCTTTTTAAAAAAAATATATTTTTATTGATTTCAGAGAGGAAGAAAGAGATAGAAACATCAATGATGAGAGAGAATCATCTATCTGTTGCCTCCTGCATGTCCCCCACCGGGGACCAAGCCAGCAACCCAGGCATGTGCCCAGACGAGGAATCGAACCGTGACCTCCTGGTTCATAGGTCGATGCTCAACCACTAAGCCACAACAGCTGGGCAGTTTTGCCAACTTTTGAACTGATAAAGATAAAACTATTCTGTGGAAATCTTTCAAGTACTTCTTTCCTTCCCTACTGTGTTTCTGAGGTTGACCTCTGTTTGTGTGGCTGGCTGTAGTTGTTCACTGCCATTGCCCTATTGCAGTGATGGCGAACCTATGACACGCGTGTCAGAGGTGACATGCAAACTCATTTTTTTGGTTGGTTTTTCTTTGTTAAATGGCATTTAAATATATAAAATAAATATCAAAAATATAAGTCTTTGTTTTACTATGGTTGCAAATATCAAAAAAATTCTATATGTGACACGGCAACAGAGCTAAGTTAGGGTTTTTCAAAATGCTGACACGCCGAGCTCAAAAGGTTCGCCATCACTGCCCTATTGTGTCCTGTTGAGTATACATGCCTCAGTTCATCCTTCCTACTATGACGGATGGACATCCAGATGGTGCTCTGTTTGGAATTATCATAAACACTGCTGCTATGAGCATCCTGGAGCCTCTTTTCTGTCCACATGAGCAGGTTTCCCCAGGCTCTGCTGCTTGCACTCTTCAGCTTTCTCAGGCTGCTGTGTTTGCACTCAGTTTGTGTGAGTACTAGGGATTCCACAGCCTCACCCACACTCAGTAGTGTCAGAATTCATTCTGAACATCTTCCAGCATCTCTCTGTTCAAGTCTCTGACCGCACTAAAATCTCAGTCACCCAGGCCGTCATGTCTCAGGAACACCTGCCTGTTCCTGGGTCCACATGCATCACACCTCTGAGCCTCGCTCTTTCCCACTTTTCAGGCCAAGGTGGGCTGGCCTGTGGGAACTCTCTTCTCACTGATGATACAGAGGGACATCTGTGTTATTTAGGTGGCTACTCATCTAGCAGCTCCAAGTGTGTGAAGGTCGTGTGAGGGTGCTGGCACATAGTATGTGCTCTGTCACACTAGGTGTCCTGATACCAGAGACTCAACCAGCCAGGATCTCTGTCCCTGAACATTCTGGATGCTTACAACATTGCTGACTTGTTTGATTATAGGTAGTCTAGTCAAAACACGGGTAATCTTCCCTTCCTGTTGAGTATATTGACCAAGTATTGGTCACCTCCTCCTGGAAGCAGAACAATTAGTGCTGGGTGGACCCTGAATACAGGTCCATTCTAGGTAACAAATCTCTGTGTCCCCAGCACCCGCATAGGCCCAGGCCCAGAGGCAAAACTAGCAATTACTTTTTGAATGTCTGATTTTGTTATAGCATTCTGATTTTTGTTAGAAAAGATAAAATTGCATTTGCTCCATGTTTCAGTGAAGGCAACTGAGCCTCAGAGATGGGGTGTGACAACCCCAAGGGCAAATAGCAAGTAAGCAGCAGGGAAAGCATTCACACCCCTCAGCAATAAGACCCTGCCTCTGAATGCCTCAAACACCAGTATGCCTGCTCTAGGAGTCAGCTGAGCCTATTTTTCCCTGTAGATGGAATCATACTAAACTGATGAAGTGAAATAAGATGCTATATATAGAAGCATGTGTATAAGTGATTAACAAATGTTCATTTACTTATTCACTTATTCTTTCACTGTGTAACAAGAAAAAGTATTTTGACAATCTGGATGAAGAACTAGGAATATGCTTACACACTATGATCCAGAAACTATGCTCACTAATACATCCCCATCCCAGTGCCTGCTATACAGTAGCAGCTTAATACTTGTCTATTAGGATGACATCAGGCCAAAGATGATGAGGAAGGAAGAGAAGCTTCAGTTCCAAATATAGTTGTTTCCACATTACATAGAGTTAAAAAGAAGGAAAGAAGGGAGGGAAGGAAGGAAAAAAAACAACAACAACTGAAAACAACCTAAATACCCTGTGCTAGGGGGGCTTTGGTAAATGATGTCTCCTCTTACTGCTAGGATATTCCAAAGCTGGGGTCAGCAAAATATGGCCCATGGGCCATCTCTAGCCTACTGCCTATGTAGTTAAATAAAGATTAAATGAAAACCAGCCATTAATTTTGCCTGTCTTTGAACTTCACAACAATGGAATCCTATATTATGTTCTTTTTAGTGTCCAACTTTTTTCACACAACATTACATCTAGAAGATTTTTTCTTATTGTATTGGTAGTTCATTCTTTTTCACTATTATCTAGTATTTCATTGCATGATTATAATTAATTACTATTTATTATTATTCCCATCTACATATGGGGAAACTGCAGCACAGAGATTTAAAGTAAGTTGCCCAAGGACACACAGCAGGTTCATGTTAGATCTGGGACTTAAGCCCAGGGTCCAGAATCTGTGCTCCTCCCCAACTCCCACCCCATACAGTACTTCCTCTCATGCTATGATGGTGGAAGCCCAAGGGGCCTTGGGAACTCAGAAGAAGGGCGACAGCATCCAGCCTGGGAGCCAGGGATAGATGCCAAGGAAGCTTCAATCAGAGCAATGGGTTTCCAGACTTATATGTCCATGGTGTCTGGCAGGTGTCATAGGTGATCAAAGCAGTTGATCTCTGAAAAACCACAACTTAAGGTCAGGTAGGTAATAAGGAGCAGTGAGGACTATGGCAAATTGAAGGATACCAACTCATGAGGAAGACAGCTGCTGGTATAGCTCCAAGTATTATTGTGATATGACAAGGCTGGCAGAGGTTGTGGTGAGCCAGGACACAGCAGGACTACAGCTGGCATTTCTTGCCAGATTCTGTGCCAGGAAGTCAGCACCACTTATTAAATAATTTGACTATCACCCCAGAGTTGCCAGATGCACTTTCTGTTTGCCAAAAACAAAACAAAACAAATGCACATGGGAGTCTGCCTTTTAAATACTCCTGGTTTTTAAATGTTGGTTCACAAACCATTTTAAACCTGGGCAGGCCAAAGAGAACGTATGTGTGTTCTGGACTGGCCTGAACTGATCTAAGCGCATCTACAGACTGCACAGGAGTTGGGAAGCAAGGAAGGCAAGTTAGTTCCAGGTGGAAGACACAGCACAAGGGCTGTAGATGAGAGGAATTTGAATCCAGGCCTGAGTTTCCTGAACCAAAAGAAAAAACAAAAACCAAACCCAGCTAGTTGGGGCAGGGGTGGGCCAGGCTGGGCTGGGTCCTGCATGCAATGACCTGCGTTGTGCTCTTCCCCGCCCACTCCTGCAGATCCTGGAGGAGAACATGAAGCTGGAGTGTAAGTGCCACGGCGTGTCAGGTTCCTGCACCACCAAGACCTGCTGGACCACGCTGCCACAGTTCAGAGAACTGGGCTACGTGCTCAAGGACAAGTACAACGAGGCTGTACACGTGGAGCCTGTGCGCGCCAGCCGCAACAAGCGGCCCACCTTCCTGAAGATTAAGAAGCCACTGTCATACCGCAAGCCCATGGACACGGACCTGGTGTATATCGAGAAGTCACCCAACTACTGTGAGGAGGACCCAGTGACGGGCAGCGTGGGCACGCAGGGCCGCATCTGCAACAAGACAGCCCGCCAGGCCAGTGGCTGTGACCTCATGTGCTGCGGCCGTGGCTACAACACTCACCAGTACGCACGGGTGTGGCAGTGTAACTGCAAATTCCACTGGTGCTGCTATGTCAAGTGCAACACCTGCAGCGAGCACACCGAGGTGTACACGTGCAAGTGAGCCCAAGACCGCACTGCATGCGCCCTCAAGTCAGGTCCACTGTGGGGAGGACCAGTGTCCAGCTGCACTTACCCTGCAGGTCACTTCCCAGATCTCCATAGGGAACTGCAGGAATGCTGAGCTTGTCTTTCCTGCTGTGGAGGAACCTGCGCAGTTTCCTGCAGACACTTTGGGGAAAGGGCTCTCCAGAGCCCCTAAGCATTCTAGTCCATTCCCAGCCTGCTCCGCCCTACCCCAGACACTGCCTGGGCCTCCTCGCTGCAGCAGAGCCTTGCACAGCAGGAACCCTGGATCCTTGGGCCTCATCATAGCAATATTTAACAATTTTGATTTTAAAAATAATATTAATTTATTTAATTAAAAAGAATCCTTCCACCTCATTGGGATCCGTTTTCTGCAAAGTGGACGGATTGCTTTCTTTGCAGGAAGATTTTGTCACTGGGACAAGGAACAAACTAGAACTGTACATAATTATTCTTTATGCAGATATTTCTACTAGTTGATTCTCCAAGTATCCCCTGCACTAGATGGTTAAGTACAGAGCAGATGTCATATATATATATTTAAGCTGATCCAAGTTTGGAGATGTTTTTCACAATACATTTCCCATCCTTTAGTCCTCCCCAACTCATACTTCACCATTAGAAAAATCCAGTTTGGAATAAATAGAAAGAAGAAAGATAGTAATAAAAGCACCCAGCAGTTTTCATCTTTTGGAAAGTGAGCCACTGGATAGGAGAGAATGTTTTGTAAGAGACTATTTTTATATGAACATTTTATTTATTTTGCATCTGGCTGTATCATTCCGTCACCTGGGCTTCTTAATTCCAGGACTTGCTCTGTGGTAAGGAGGGGAAAGGCCTGGGTGTGGAGTCAGATCCCATGAGGACCCTCACACAACTGGGTTTTCAAGTTCTGTTGATCAAATGGGCAAAAGTAGCCATGGATGCCTGGGCTATCGTGTCATTGGTATTACCTGGGAAAGGAATTAGACCTCCAGTCTCAGCCTATTAAGTTCAGGCTTTAAGAGCAAGGTCACTGAGCAGTGACCTCGTGATTAGCCATTTGGTGGGCAGGTGTGTGCATTGGGACCAACACAGGGACTTGGTCACGGCCACTTGGCAGAAGCCAGCTCAGGGAACCTACTCCTCACCAGAATGCTCCTGAATTGCTGAGTGCCCTGGGGGATAGGGGTGAGGCATAGACCTCAGTTAAAAGGCAAAAAAGCTGGGGTGAGAGGTCCCATGAGCAGCTGGGTTTCCTGGATGTCACAGCCCCAGGGTAGACTGTCAGAGAGAGGGATGGACGGGCCTCTCTGCCCTGGGTCCCCCTTCTTCCAGTGCCTCTGTACTTGGAAAGCTTTCCTTAAGGAGACCGTGGGTGTTCTGCATCCGTGTGTGTGTGTATGTGTGTGTGTGTGTGTGTGTGTGTGTGTGTGTGTGCACGCGCACACACACACTCGCGCTGCAGCTTTAGGGAGTCTTGGGATAGTCATGTGACTTTGTGCTTTCAGGTGTCTCTTGTGTACTCCTGTGTGTACCCAACTATCTGTTTCTCTCCATCTGTGTTCCTGAAAGATTCAGGGTGGTGTATGCACGTGGGTGTGTGCCTGTGTATCTCTGCTTGCAGGGCAGGGCTGATGGTGTTGAGTCAAACTATAGGGACCTTTGGCAATTGTGTTGAGCCACCAAGAGATGGCACTTCTGAACTCTATGCCCACAGGTACCTCTGAGATCACAGCCCCATGGCCCCATAAACTGGGAGCCTCTCAATGTCTAGGCTGTATTGGACACTCCAGTGTCAGCACTGGGCCTGGATCACAGCATAGACAAATAAAATGGCTGGACGGTTGGTTGATTTCTTCCCTTGAACATTTATTTTCTTCTTTACTTGGGTATCAGGATGGGTAGGTATGAAGGAATGAGTGCATGGGTGGATGGGTGAATGAATGGGTGAGTGGGCAAGTAGGCAAGTGCGTGGGGGAGGTGTCAATGGGTGAGGGAGGAGAAAATGCAGAAGTTTCTTGAAGTCTCCATGTCATGGTTTATCTCTGCCTCGGAAGCCTGCAGTGTCCACCATGAGCAAAGAGGCTTCTTAAGCCTTCAGCCCCTCTGCTCCCGACTGGCCTCATAGCACCTGAGAGTGAAGGAGATTCTGATCACCTCCCAGAGGCTCATTTAATGTAATCACATAAACATGGTTTCAGAAGCCACCCCATGTCTTGTTTAACTATTCAGATGAGGAGTGGGCCTGGCAGGGGGCAGCTGGGCTTGTGAGAAGAATGGCCAGGTCAGCTGCCAGCCTATCACTGGGCTCCTTAGTACACTGTTAGTTTCAAATGTGGGGACCTGCCCTCCCCCCGAAGGTGCCCAGCTAAGCTGTGCTCTGAGCCTCAGTTTCTCCATCGCAAAAGTGGAATAAAAATACCTACCTCACAGGGCTGTTGTGAGGGTCCTTCCAATAATGATTGTATGGCACTTTGAGTTTCAAAGCAATGGATGGATGCTAAGTATTATTATTATTAATTATTATTGTTGCTATTATTACTATTCTCTCCATAATGATAATATTCTTAAAACATAGCTTATAAGAATACATATTTTGCTCTGTGTTAGGCAGAGATATCCCCCCTTTGTTTTACTCCTAAAGTGGCTTTTCAATAAAACTGCCATTAAAAAGACAAAAATCTTAAGAGACTGAAACAAAAAACACACAGCAGAAAGTCCAGGACTATAGTTTGGAAAGCTCAGGGTCCAGGTGGATAACAACTGTGGGAAGTGAGCTGCTCAATGCAAGCCCATTGGAGCTGCATGAAGATGTGGGCATCCTCACAGTCAGACCCCCTGATTTTTCTTTAATCCTCACCCGAGGATTTGTTTTTATTGATTTTTAGAGTGGGGCGGGGAGGGAGAGAGAGACAGAGAAACTTTGATGCAGGATGGAAACATCAATCAGTTGTCTGCTGTATGTGCCCCAACCAAGGATTGAACCTGCAACCTATGTATGTGCCCTGACCAGGAATTGAACCCACAACCTTTTGGTGTACAGAATGATGTTTCAACCAACTGAACCACTTGTTGGGGCAGATCTCCTACTTTTTTAATATGGAGGAAAACAGGACTGCAAGCTGAACTTGCCTTTGTGCCTCCAGTGTGCAGCCTCTGACTTGGACCAAATCTCTTGTTTTAGAGATGGAGAAACTGAGGCGCAGAGAGGAACAGGACTTTATGCAAGGCTACCTAGAAAGCCCAGCAGAGGGAAGACAAAAACAGGACTTGTGCCTCCCGGAAAGGTCAACAGAGTGCATCCCTGAGGCAACAAAATGATGTGGAGGGGTGGGGTGGGAGGGATGAAATTCCTACTTGTTCAGACTACCACAGGGTGGGGCAAAAGTAGATTTATAGTTCTAAGTACACAAAGCACAGAGTTTATTCTTGATTATTATTTATTAATCATTGTATTATTTTTCATATGAACAACTGAAAACCTACTTTTGCACCACCCTGTATGTGTTCTCAGGTGTGTGTGCAAATGCACTCATGTCCTTCTGGACTTAAGTTTAGAACTAATTCAAGGCTCCACTGGGCGATGGATCTGTGCTCTCAACCACTCTGTAGGGGGTGCCCTGGCAGCCAGCCAGTGGAATCCTCCAAACTCCCATTCTCCTACCCACACCCCTTCAATCAAGGAAACCCCTTAGCAAGACCCAGGTCAGGAGAGTCCTGGGTTGACCTGTTTCTCTACCCAAGGTAGAGCTGTCCCTTGCAATCTTCAAGACAAGTTTGTGATGTGTTTCCTGAGACCCTAAGAGGGCTCCATTCCCACTTACAAATGAGGACCAACCTCAGGGAAGCAAGTGCCTTCTTCAAGACCCCAGCCCCACGAAATGGGAAACAGGCTGCAGTCTGGTTGTCTCACATCAGCCTATGGTCCTGAACCTTCTGTCACCTCTAACAGAAGCTTAAGAAAGAAAGAAAAGGCAGTGGGTCACACAGGGCATCCAAGTCTGACACAGATCGTCATTGCCCACTTTTCCCCACCTTACTGAATGCATCCAACAGGCCACCAAGACCTGGCATTTCTTCCCAGGGCATTGCACAGCCCACCCACCTTCCTCACCGACTGGCCATCATTGTCTCTCACCTAGAAGAATGCCACCACCTCCTTCCAGGCCTCCCTGCCTCCACTCATGCCCCCTCAAACCAGCCTTTCAAGCTCTGGCTAGCCCAATCCACTTCCTGACTACAACCAGATGTGGCTCCTCATTATTCTGCAGATAAAGAGCAGGTTCATTAGTCCTTCACGACCTGGAAGCCTTGCCTCTGCCTCTTCTGCACAGCAGTAATAGTGCCATTTGTGAAGTTATTGCTTTGTGCCAGGCAAGGTTCTAGCAATTTCATGAATTCTCTCTTAACTTCACACCACCCTGTATGTCTTGTACCTTTGCTGTGTCCTCTGCCAAGAACACCCACCTTCCTTTCCTCCACCTGGCAGACTCTTGTTCCTCTGAGGAGCCCTTCTTTGCTGTTGCAGGAAGGATGAGGTCTGGAGCCACCCATGTGCAGGTGCAGCCTTGCTGTTCTTCTTGTCCTGAGCTACTGGAATCGGAATTACACTCTCCCTCACAGTGTTCTAGAGCCATCTTCCAGCTGAAGGCAGGGAGATGAAGGGATTCACCCACACAAATCACTGACCAGGCTCTATGACCAATGTATCAGTTAACTATTGCTGAGTAACAAACCACCCCAAGACTCAATGACTTCAAACAATTGTATCATTGCAACTAAGTCTATGGATAAGTTGAGCAGTTCTTCTGATCTCAGATGGGTTCCCTCATGCACCCATGGTTAATTGTGGGTCAGGTAAGTGGCCCTGCTGATCTTGGCAAAACTCTGTCATATGTTTTGGAGTCAAGTGGCTACAAGCTGGTCTAGAATGACTTTAACTAAGATGAATGGGCCATAATTTCATCCTCCAGTAGGCTAGCACAAGCTGGTTCACATCAGAGTAAAAGGATTCTGAAAGTAGGAGCAGAAGCTGCCAAACTTCTTGAGGCCCAGGCTCAGCACTGGCACAAGGTTAGGTCTGCTACATTCTATTAACCAAAGCAAGCCACAGGACCAGCCCAGATTCAAGGTGTTAGGAAGGAGACTCTTTTTCAATGGGAGGAATTGCATAGTCACATAGCAATGGGTGTGGGACAGAGAAGGGACTTAACCACACGCAAGACCATTGTGAAGACATTCACATTTGCTGTCCTGAGCAGGACATAGCACTGATAATGTGGCAGGGACACAGCTGCTCTGTTTAATGGGCCCCCCAAACCTCAGCTTCTCCACCTGTCCATCACTTGTTCTAGAGTCAATCTTGTGTCTTGTCT